CATCCCTGCTTATGACAATTTTTAATACTTACAACTATTGCAGCAACCCCATGTGATCAAATGTGATCAAAGTTTGGATGCTTAGCAACTGGTACATATTTATGATGGTTGCTGTGACCCTGGGTCATATGATCACTCTTTGCAGTCTTCTGACAAGCAAAGTCAATAGAGAAACCAGATTCACCTAACAACTGTGTCACTAACTTAATAACTGCAGTGATTCACTTAACAACTATGGCAAGGAAGGTAGTAAAATGGGGCAAAATTCATTGAACAAATGTTTCACTTAGCAACAGAAAATTGAGGGTCAATTATGGGTGTACGTTGAGAACTAGTTGTAGTTCCTTCTACAGACTTTGAATGGCAGCAACAGTCTGTCTTTAACAGTCTGAAAAAGCCACTCCACAACCACAAACTAGCAGTAAACTGGTGCTAACTGAGAGAGAAACATTGTTCCCATTCATCACTTAATGGCCAGTGCTGTTTGTGGGGTGTAAGCATAAGTGGAGCCAAATACAAACTTAGATTTAGAAATATCTTGGAAATAAACAAAGTTAATTAAGAAAGAACTGGTTGTTTCTACTAACATACCAGCTGACTAAAACAATCAGAGGATTTAGGGGAGGGGTTTTTTCCCTGGACCATTCACCACCACAACAGCATTCATTTAGACACATTATCCTTGCCTTCCTCAAACTCCCTACCACCGGCAAGAAAGATAATAACAAATATAAGTATCCTCAACTTACAATCACAATCAGGACTGGAATTTTGACCGCTAAGTAATGCAATCCTTAAGAGAGGCATCACATGACAAGATCCAATTTTACAACCATTTTAACTTGGTTGTTAAATGAATCACATGGTCACTGAGTGAATCTGGTTTCCCCAATTGACTTTTCTTGTCAGAAGCTGGCTGAGAAGTTTCCAAACCATATGGGAGGATGCTATCATTGTAATTTTGAGTTGATTGTCAAGCATCTAAATTGCAATCATATGACTGTGGTGTGGTGTGAGGGTGGTAACTTTGGGGATGGATGGTGTCACTTTTTCTGTGGCCATTGTTAAATGGACGGTCATAGGTTGTGCACTCCCTGTAAGGAAAGCAAATGTAAATTGAATTGGCTGGTACATCATTCCTACCAATTCGTCTAATAAAATTGGGGGAGGGGAGTAGGGAACAAAGTTTTTTGAGAAAAAAAGGAAATACATTGATTAAAATAGTATAGATTAATGTACCTTTAATTTACAATAGCACTTCCTAAGATCACTTTTTATTTTGGTACTGTTCTTGTCCTTCACAGTGCAAAGATTTGGACATTTTTTCTTTCAAGGATGTGGATTTTCTCTGGCTGGAATGTTTCAAGGTTGATGACCAAGCTTTGCAATGTACTCATCTGCATAAATAGTCACAAACTGCTTTACAATGAATTAATTTCACTCAAATTCACTCAGTCAAAACACTTGCCATGCCAGTTTGGTAAATAAGTTCTTTGTACTTAAAGCATTGTATGAAATTATTATAAAAAAGCCAGTTTGGTATAGTGTTTAAGGCTGGAAACTGGGAGATCAAGTTCTGCTTTAGGCAAAAACCAGCTGGATGACTTTGTGTCAGTCACTTTCTCTCAGCCCTAAGGAGGAGGCAATGGTAAAGCACTTCTGAAAAATCTTGCCAAGAAAACTGTAAGGACTTGTCCGTGCAATTACTAAGAATCATATGTGATTGAATAGAATAAAAAACATTATTATAAGCTATTAAAATGAAGGAGACATTTCTGCTTTTTTTGGTAACATATTGTTAATACAGAGCTTTCTTTTGCTCAGGTGGCATTTTTCCTTGGCTACAGCATATCAATTGTTTTATTCCTATACATAATTGCCTTTGTATTTCGCCAAAAAAAGCATACTGCCAGTTTTTGGTCAGTCACTTCTATTTTAGTAAGTATATGCCTAATGTAGCTTCTTCTTAACAAGGGGATGGTTGTATTTTTGGTTGACCTGTGGCCTGGAAGACTATCTGGTCACACTGCTCCAGTGTGAAAGGCTCCAATTGGGAGAATCTACCAGAAGGTGGAAGCTGTCTTTCAAAAGTGGACTTGTATGGTCTGCTTCTGGGCTTTAAAATAAGGCTAAGCATTGCACCATTCTGTTGCCACTTCCTGCCATGTACCAGGCATGTAGGTGCAGTGGCTGTTTCCTAGGGAGACAGATTAGTTTTGTGGGACAGAATTTTTGCTGTTTGGTGCATGCTGGTTATAGACAGAGAAATAGCCTTGAAGCAAACATTAAGTTCTGGGAAAAGAGATAGTATTAAGAAGAGACTCAGGCTGATCCCTCCCTGTCTCCTTGGGGTCTAAGAAAGAGGGGATAAAAAGCATAATCAGACTTGGAAGTTGACTTCCTGATTGAGTCTCCCTTGCAGGGCTGACATTGGGGGATTTTGCTTTCCTCTTAGCACTGCATTTATTGGATATACAAGCCTCTTAATGTTACTATAACTATGACAGCAAAGACCTGAAATTAGCAAGATAGTAAGGTGATGTAAGGTGTCCCAGCACCTTCCTTCTTGTTCTTGGCATCCCTGATCCCCTTGGCATCCCAGCAAGTAAATTGTGGTGGGGTTGGAATTAAGGTTTAATCATAGAAGCAAAACAAAGGAAGGGAAACATGAGAAGAAGAAAAGCAGTCTGTGTTTCATGGATAGCAATGATCAAATGTAAAAGTTGGGGTATTTTAATTGAAATCACCATGTAACTTTTTCAGTCAAGACAGTCAAGACAGGGGTTATAGAAAAGAAAAGTGGGTAAAGTGATTTCATTTGTTAAAAATATTAAAATGTTTCCTTCTTTCATTTTAGGTTATGCTGCTTTTGTTCATAATAAGTATCACGACAAGTTCAATTTCTATGCCCTACATAAGACACCTGTTGAGTTTTTTTGTTCCTATGTTTCCAGTTACCAATTTTATAATGTCTTTTACATATGTAAGTGCTATATTATCTATTATCTGTTAGCTTATGAAAACTGGATCTGAGCATAAACATTTTTCCGTCCACCCAGTTTGCATAGGGAATAATTGGGTAAAAAAAAGTTATCTGAATTTTTCCCAGGAAGCAGCACTTCAACAATTTTTCAAGGGCGGGACTGCCTCTTTCCAGTAACACTCCAAAACTGTGGTGATTTCACTAAAATTCATTTTTCCTTCAAAGTGAATTCTAATGGAAATAGGTTTTTTTCCTGGGAGCCATGTTTCAATCCCCCCCCGCCCCTCCATGGCTTCAGCCAATAGACAGCCAGACAAAGCAATGTTATAAGCATTAAATGGTTGTCGAACTTCA